CTGGCACACTTTGAGAAGCACTGCTTTAGAGCCCCAGGGGGCCACCGCACCTGCGTCTGGGAGGAGAAGTGCCATTCAGACCAGGGACAGAGGAAGGCACAGGCAGGGAGACTGCGGAGGGGCAGGGCTGAGCTGAGCGAAGCAAGCTGGTGTGTTTGGGAATGGCAGATTGAGAGCCAGGTGGGCTGGAGCCGGGAGAGGGAGGGAACTAGACTGTGATTAAATCAGCCCGAGCACAGACAGGCAGTAGCTGAAGGCCTTTGGCCAGAAGGCCTGACCCGGCAGAGCAAGTAACTGACCCAGTCATGGTGTTTTAGAAATATTCATTTTATCACCTTGAGTGTGTTCGGAGCATCTCAAGGGTAAAAATAAATGCCTAAGTATAGCAGGCATTTATCTAGGCCCATACCCAAGGCCTGAATACAGATGGTTTCCATGACACATTCACAAATCAGGAAGCTGAGGCCTAGGGCCTTGATGTGAGGCATCCAATGTCACCTGCAGGCTCTTGAGTACAAGATGATGGCTGTGGTCCCGAGAGCCAGTGTGAAACTTCCCCAGGACAAATCCAGACCAGGGAGCCGCAGCTGGGGCTACATAGAAACAAAGCTCAGGAACACGACCGCGCTCATCCTGGGGAGGGGCGTCCTGGATGGCGCTGTTCTGTTGAGGTAGCCTTCAACCTTCTATTCAGTTGCAGCCAATCCTTCCACAGGCCTGGCTGCCACAGTCATGGCTGGGCTGTGAATAGGTCATCCTGATTTTAAGGGAAAATGTTTGAGCATATATAAACCAAGTCCAGGTCTTCTTGGAGCTCACATTCTAAAGGGCAAAAGGCAGTAACACACATGCATGACGGATGAAATGTTTATGGGCTGCAGTAAGTATTGGGAAGGAGCTACATGGGTGGTGAGTCCGTCAGGGTCTTGGCAGGAAGCAGTGCGCATGCTCAGGTTGTGTAATGTATTCAAGGGGCAGTTTGTCGTGGTGTGGGCAAGGTTGGATATGGTGGAAAGTGATGCGGGAGCAACCCCAGGGCTAGAATCAGTGGGGAGCCATTTCCACCCCTTCTGTCCAAAGGGGCAAAGGAGAAAGCAGTTGGCAGAATCTGCAACAAGGGGTCATGGGGGCGCCCTACTCTACAGGTGCAGACTAAGACAAGCAAGGTGACCCAGCAGAGAAGGAGCGGGAGGGACAAACAGGACCAAACACCAAAAATGTTGTTCTTGCCTGGCCCCACGCCTTGTACTTCCCTTGCATTGACTTTCCCCAGATGTGAGGTGTGTCGAAGCCCAGTTGGGAGACCAGCTGGCTAGGCTCACAGTGGAAATGGCTCCAGACTCTGCTGTTGCCCTACATTGAACACACTCTTCAAGTGCAATTGCTTTTGCAGACACTCCTGGGACATGGCCTGAATGAGAAGGGGCTATTTGTATACCAGGTCAGCTTAGAGCTAATGAACTCCATCTGCCTAGTCAAGCTGGAGGGAGGCATTCTCTGCCCTTGAGAGTTGACCTTGGGGAAGCTGTCGAATGTTTCCAGGCCTCACTTCCCTCACTTGTACAAAGGCAACGCTAGGTTGAATGATTTCTAGTGGCAGGCGTTGTTGTGCCGAGGAGGAAGCTCACAGCTCTGTAGCCAACCAGCCCTGAGTTCAAAGACTCTATAGCACAACAGACAGGCTAACCTCGGGCACACCACGCATCTGAGACTCAGCTTCCCCGTCTGCTAATGGGGATAATGTCTACCCAGCCCAATCTTAGCGCTTCATGTATGTAAAATCACCAGCATTTTGTGCAGAGTAGCAAGTCCATACATGACTGTTCCTGTCCTTCAAGGCAATGTAACATAAGGATTGGGAGAGCAGGCTTTGAGATAGCATGAGCTTGAAACCGACTGTTCTGCCACTCCTGGATAAGGCACCTTGGGCAAGTCACGATCTCTGGAAGCTTCTATTTCTTCATCTGTCTTCCCAATAGGGGTTTTGCCAAAATCAAATGAAATAATACAAACAAGACTACTTCAAAAAGTCTATGGGAAAATGCAATTTAAAGAGAATTTCATTTGGTATGAATTATCTTCCTTCAGCTATGATATTTTATATTTGTCCATAGCATGACAAAGAGCTTTCCAGAATGTTCTGTGAGGCTGTTCTCTTAACTTTTCAGCAAAAGTACCTAGGGTTAGTTACATAAGATGTTGCCAGAATTTTCACTATTATGGGATTGACCCATAAGACCTTGCGTTGCCATGGGTGACAGGCATCGAAGGTGGCAGACCACATTCCCAGCAGAGACAGCATTAGAGGCAAGGAGCATACATCTACCTCAGATCTCCAGAAGGCTGCCCATCAAAGGAGGGTTGACTCCAACCCTCAAGGGTCTCATTTTTTTTTTTGCCTTTGATTTTTTTTTAATCCCCCAGTGTGACTTGGTAGGGAGCACAGGAAATCTGAGTGACAAAGAAGGGAGCTGCTAACTTAAATGAATGGTGTTGGCAAAGCCTGTGCCCCCCAAGTGCTCCAAGAGGGATAATGGTGGCTTTGGCTTGGAGGCTGGAGTCAGGATGGTTGTTGATTGTGCTCCAGGGCCAAGCATTGCTATAGCAACAAATGACTTAGCAACAACTGTGATCAGTCTGCTTCTTTCAGAGAGTTTACATAATAGGGATTGCTTGGGTTCTTTCTGGAAGGGATGACAGGAAGACTTTGTTCTCCCTTTAAAGGCATTTGAAGGAGCAATCCTTTTTCACAAACTGTGCAATAGGGAGGAAAAACAGGTGGGAAGGCATGGCACAAACATGTTTGCCGTTAGGTTTTCTAGGTGGACGGCTTGCTCACAGGTGAATTTTTTTGGTTTTTCCTCTTCAGGTACTTCTCTGAGTCATCCATGGTGGTTTTGATTTTCTAGCGAGGGGAAAATGCCTTAATAAGTTGACTGTGGCAAGACGTAAGCCTGGGGGCTGGCATTGTGGCGTACTAGGTTAATCCTCCGCCTGCGGCACCAGCATCCCACATGAGTGCTGGTTCAAATCCCAGCTGCTCCTCTTCCAATCCAGCTCTCTGCTGTGGCCTGCAAAAGCAGTAGAAGATGGTCCAAGTCCTTGGGCCCCTGTACCCATGTGGGATACCTGGAAGAAGCTCCTGACTCCTGGCTTCGGATCGGCACAGCTCTGGCCATTGCAGCCATTTGGGGAGTGAACCAGCGGATGGAAAACCTCTCTCTGTCTCTCCCTCTCACTGTCTGTAACTCTACCTCTCAAATAAATAAATAAAATCTTTTTTTTTTTAAAGACATAAGCCTGGACATAGGGAAAGGGTATTTGTGGCCCCAAAGAAGAGTGGGCCTGACATTGGTGGCAGAGGGCCCCCCGAGTTGTACAGCACTGCGGTGCCTGGGGTTTGCTGGCTTGGTGGAAGGGAAAGCCCCTGTGTGATTGTCACATCTGTTTGTATTGTGAATTAGGTCATTCAGAAAGGTCTTTTTGAAGCATTTCTCTAAAATGCTCTTTCCAGTGACAAATATAATTGTTTTTGTGGGGTGGAAACTGAAAGAGCAGAGGAATTTCAGGGAGGAAAACAAAAATCTAAGTACAACATTCAGCGCGTATTTATTGAGCTCCTTCTGTATACTCGGCATTCATTGAAGGTATTCATAGTGATGCAGTAAATCTTTAAGCCACTATGATATACTCTACTTACAAACAACATTCCGTTAAAAAGCCACAGCCTTACACTTGCATCTGAATCCAGGTCTTCAAAGAACCAGCTGAGTCGTGTTAGCCATTTGCTCAGGCTGACAGAAGCAGGAAGCACAGCTGGCATTGGAGCCCACGTGGATGAGTCCCTGTTGCAGAAGCCTGGGGTCCTCGCGTCGAAGGGCCTTGGAGTGGAAGGAGCTGTGACTTTCTGGGGGACGTCGCCTGTCCCACCTGGGTGGTCTGTCTCACCCAGCTGTGGTTCTGGCTGGGCAGTGCTCTGCCCACGGGCCTGAGAGCCTGAGTCTCAGTTTCATCAGATGTAACACGGATTCATGGTGTTTTGCGAGGCTCTAGCCACATAGAGGCCGTGCCTCCATCCCCAGGCACCACATCACCAAGCCCATGTGGGCTCTGCCTCCTAAACATGGAGCTTCCCATCTCTTCTGCCAACATTTTAAAAAAGACACTATCATCTGTTGCGTGGACCACTGCATACACTTTGAACTAGACTTTTTTTTAAAAAAAAGATTTATTCATTTATTTGAAAGTGATACGGGGGGGGGGAGGAATCGTCCATCTGCTGGTTCACTCTCCTGCCTCTCAAGTAAATAAATAAATCTTAAAAAAAAAAAAAAAACAAAACCAGTATGAGCCCATCAACCACCACCATTCCCACCTCCCACTTGCTTCAGACCTGTGGGTCTTCCTGTGGCTTCCCACAGGTGTCAGGAGAGATCCAGTCAGCCCACAGGGTCCTGGCTTGGTCCTGGCCTCCTCCCCTCCCCTGTCTTGCCCTGGGCTTCTTCCCTCTGCTGTGCTTCTCCAGCCTCGCTGACATTCATTTATCCTCTCTGGTCCGCAAAGCTGCCTCCCATCACAGGCCACCTTGAACATGCTCTTTCCGCTGCCTGGAAGGCTCTTCCCGGCTTCTCATCTCAGCCTTGCAGTCCCTTCCTCCGGGAAACCCTCCCAGAAACTGCCTCAGCCGCGTCACCTCCCCGTCGTGACATCCTCCTCCCTGAAAGTGGCTCATTCCAGGGTCACGTGACACGTACCTGTGTGCTATGTGGGTGTCCACCTGTCTGCTCCTGTGGGTTTCTGCTCACCACCATATGCCCCACACCCAGAGCAGTGTCTCACACAGAAGAGACACTCAGCAAAACTGCATGGCACCGCGTGAATAAGTGCATGAGTTTTGGCCAGCTTACAAAAATGAGAGTTCCTTTTCTTTTGCCCAGGGCCTCTTAGAGATCAAAGTTGGAAAAACATTTGCTTTTTATTATATTATTTCTATTACACTCGGCGTTGGTTTAAGCGGTGATTTATCACCATCTCTCAGCTGTGCGATTTCGCCGGTACAAGAGCTGGTCGGCAGAGGGCCCCACAGGAGCAGTGATGGAGTCAGCTCCGGGAAAGAAGCCTGCCGCTGCTGGGCCACTGTGGATCCCGGTGCCACATCTGCCAATCCATCCACAGCTCACTGGGAAGCCTCCCACCACCAGTCTGTATAATGCAGTGGGCGCCGGGTGGCCCTGTCCCAGAACCTTTGCATCTGACACTGGAAACAGGAAGCCACAGGGCGGGAGGTCAGAGCTCCGGGCAGATTATTCTCCCACAAGTTCACGGCTTGCTCCTCCAGTCCTCACTTTCACGCTGCAGAATTGTAATCTAGAGCGCGCTCCCTCGGGTGGGGGCGGAGAACCACGCATGAACGCTGCGGGAAATCAGCTTTCTTTGGGGGCTATTTTTCGCTTGCTAGGCAGTAGTTTTATTTCCATTTTAATTTTCAGAGCATCTGCCCCCCACCCCGCCTCCGCCCCAACCCCTCCCAGCAACAGCCTGTGGTTTGGGATTCATGGCTGTGCTGAGTGTTTATGCACGATGCATGCTTGTAATTGACAAATTTAAATTCTGGTCATATTTCATTTATTACCCAGACCCAGAGAAAAATCCTGGGCGAAAAAAAAACTAATTACAGCCCAAGTGCCACAAGGTAATTGCCGTGAAAGAGCTCCAGCAGTGGCAGGGCTGAATATTTCATCCGCCCATAAAACGATTATGCTGACAAGATTCTGAAAAATAATAAAATCTGTTTAATAAAAAAGCAGCAAAATATCAGTGTTTTTACACACAAAGTATTAAAACATCCTTCATTCTGGACAGATCCTAAGTCATTTGATTTTTATTCAAATGACGAGCCACAGCCGAGACAGTAGCCTCAGCAGAGGCTGGAGTTGCGCGTCCTCCTCCCCGACGTGCGGCTCCCGTGGGGTCTGACAACAGCTGTGGGTCTGCTTCTTCTTGCTCTGCTGGAGCTTGGGTCCGTGGCTCAGAATCCAGAAGCCGACGGCACAAAGGGGCAATGGCCTTAGCTGAGACGGCTGTGGTTATGTTGCTGCAGATCCTCCGCATTCTCCCGGGCTGCCACGGGGTGTCCTTTCCTCTGAGAGCTTAGGAGCTGAGGTTGCCGGGAGAATCCTGGGGGGGTCCCCGGGGGCAAGGCCTGTCCTGGTTTCTCAGGCTGTCATCCTGTAGCAGGAGCCGATTTCATCCAGCTCCTGAGCGCGGGTAGGTTGGGCACTCACTACGTGCTAGGTACAGGGTAGACGACTGTGAACAAGACCATGCCCTTGAAGGAAGTGCATTGCAGTAAAAGAGACAGGTCAGAAACAAAATCACAAAGACACGATCCATTCTATCAAGTATTGGATGGGAAGAGGAAGGGGCTGGGATGGGGAATGGGGTGATCTTAGAGGATGGCCTGTCTGTGGTCAGGCATCAAGAAAAGCCCACCTGGGAGGCTCAGAAGAAACAACAGCCAGACAATTGCTGGCACCTGCTGGGACTGACAGACGATGTTGGGAAAGGAGCCAGGAGCTGTATGGCCTCATGGGCCAGGCGCAAGACGTCAGTGCTTTTTCCCTGTACTAGAGGAAACCACGACGGGCTCCAAGCAGAAGGGCCTCATCCTCTGCACATTCTAGAAAGCTCATCCCACCCTCAGAGTGGATCGCAGTGAGCAAGCGTGGCGGTGGGAGACAAGAGAGGGCGTCACTGCAGGCGGCGCAGGCCGGAGGGGCTGCTGTCCTGGAGCAGGGGGAAGCGGCGGAGGTACAACGAGAGTTTTGAGTGCAACCACTTATGTACAAAAAATAAGCATTTTTTAAAGTCTCGTAACATCCCGGACCTTAGCATTAGACTTTCCATGATTATGGGCAAGTGAAACTAGAGACATATGAGGGGGTCTTTAAAATAGTCACAGAAAATGCATACTATGAAAAATGTATGCATGGATTGCAAAAAAAAAAAAAAAAACCCTTGGATGAAAATACGCTTTTTAAAAAAGGATTTATTCTACTTATTTATTCGAAAGGCAGAATGACAGAGAGGGGGAGAAAGCTTCCATCTGCTGTTTCATTCCCCCAAAGCCCACAAGAACCAGGACTGGGCCAGCTGAAACCAAAAACTCCATCCGGGTCTCCCTCAAGGCTGGCAGGGGCCCAAGCACTTGGGCCGTCTTCCTCTGCCTTCCCTGGTGCATGTGTAAGGAGCTGGATCAGAAGTGGGGTAGCTGGGACTCAAACTGGCACTCAGTAAGCGGTGCTTACCCTACCTACCACCACAGTGCTGGCCCCTTCATCTTTAATTCCATTTTCCTCAGGCTATTTTTAAAGTAGCCTCTTAGAGAACTGGGAGCAGAGATGTTTATTCCTTTCTCTGTCGGAGGATGAAGCTGATGTGTGTTTCCGTCAGTGCCAGGGCAGGCCTTCCATCCTTTCCCCTCTCATTATGTGGACCTTATTTAAAATTAAAATTATAGAAATACTTAAGGAAAAGGAACCCCATTGAACTTGGGTACTAGGAAGCAACATAAGTTTCAACAGTCATCACGTGTTTAAGGTTGTGGAAGAGTGGGCCTATCAGGTGCCTGCGTCTGCGTTCAACCACCTTGTTCCTGTCTGCAGCTTCTTTCGATGCAGACACAACCCGAGAGGCAATGGTGACAGCTCAAGTAACTGGGTTCCTGCCACCCACGTGAGAGACCTAGATTGAGTTCTTGTCTCCTGGCTTGGCCCCAGCTGGGGACCATTGTAAGCATTTGGGGAGTGAACTAGTAGATGGGAACTCGCTGTCTGTGTACCTCTACCTTAAAAAAAAAAAGACTTGTAGAAGACGCCCAATGATGCCAAGTCAATATTGTGCCCAGCCTGGTCCACAGATCACCTAGGACACAATGGAAGGGGATTCAAGATTCAGGGACCTTCACCTTATAAGCGCTAAAGCAGATTCTGTGGGGTGGGCTGCAGAATCTGCATTTACGCCAGCTCTCCGTATAGTTGTGTGCTGTAAAGTTTGAGACACAGCTTTAAAGTGATTGAGGTTGTACCATGTTGAGAAGTGACCTGGAAAGTTGCAAACATAGAGGAAGGGATTGGGGTTCAAGTTACAGCTAGGATAAATAAATCAACACAAAGACAATCACCCTTAAGTTCCATAATCATAAAGGTTAATAATCATCAACATTTTGAAGCACAGTCTTCCAGACTGGCTTATGCACATTTACGTTTTTTATTCATAACAAATGGTGAGCACACACTTATATCCCATTGTAACTGACTTCATGAACCTTCCATGTCTTTGCACAAAGATGCTCACTCTTCCTTGCATGGGAGTGGGGAACAATGCCCAGAGGAGACAGCATCTGCTCAGGATCTATGCCTTTAATAAGCAGAGGGAATATTGCTGGGGCATGGATGGCTGATGTGATAGAATTGGGAACATATTTTATTAGGGGACAGAGACAGGTATTCTCTGATTGGCAGATCTCTGAAAATGAACACAACTTGGGCCATGAATATGCCTTGCCGACTGAAGGCAGCTTCTAAAAAGCCAAGCACAGTGTTCAGACCTAAAGGCCCAGCAAGTAATTGACAAGACACAGTGTCATGTTGAGGGCTGCCAGCTTTGGTCCACCTGCTTCCCCAAAGACGGAGCTTCTTGCTTGGGTTACTGGGATGCTGAAGAAGAGGAGCAGCAAGGTCTGGCACGGTAAGTGTCTCTAATTTCTATATTCTCTTGGCTTTCATAGTTACTGAGTCTAAACAGCTTCATAGCGGTTGCTTTTCGCAGTTGAAGGGTTTTGGGTAGAGTTGCCAGATTTAGCAAACAAAAACTACAGGACTCCCAGCTACATTTGAATCTCAGATAAACAATGAATAAATTAGGAGTGTGTGCTGTACAACACTTAGGACATACCTCTACAACAGTATTGAGTTGTTGTTTCCATGAAATTTGGATTTAGCTGAGTATTCTGTATTGTGCCCAGCAACTCTATTTGTATAACTTCCTGTTTCAGAGGGAAATGTTGATACAGAACTGTAATTTCTTAATTAGGAGTGAAAACACTTCCGTCAACCTGGAAGCCCTGTGGATTTGCATTAACATCTTTTTTGTTTGTTTGTTACAGAAGTGTTTCTCCTGGAGATGAAGAAGTCTCTGGCTAATGTAACACCAGCTACTTGAAAAAGACAGTGAGTAGGGATCCAGTCTTCACTTCCGGTCACCCTGGCAGGAGTCTAGGGCTTGCTTGTTGCTTTGTTTGTGTAGCTGGCCATGGAGAAAGCATTGGTTGTTTGGTGACATGGGAATATCTTTGATCCTGTGGATGCTGGTCGTGATCCTCAGATAATGACCCAAGCATGTGCTCATTTACTACCTCCCAAATCTGTGCACACAGCAGGTGCACAAAGCCATATTGAGAAGGAAGTGGATTCTGCTGCAAAGGGCGGGTCTCCAGATACAGAGACCAGCATTTTTGAGCAAAGGAGGGAAATGGGAGCCCTGAGGTCCAATGGAAGAAGTGAGATAATTTTCTCAATTTGCTTTCCTGGAAACAAAGACTTTATGTCAAGGATTCGTAATAAAACTAACCGAGGCAGTCACACTCAGCTCCATAAAGTGCATAAGCACCTACTTGTTCGACAACAGCTTTCTCTTTATGGGGAATTTACCAGCTTTTTAATCTCCTTTATTTGATTAACATTAGAATCAACAACTGCGAATTATGTTGGGTTCCAGTAAAGTGTTGTATTTGCCAACTTATTAAGGAAGACAGATTTTTTTCTTAAGGGCCTCAACTAAACAAGTCTCAAGCTTAAAAGTAGCAGGCCATGCTTTCAAGTTTTTACTTCCTTTTGAAAAAAATACAGATAGAATCTCTATCAGGAGGAAAAAAACCCTAAGGGGGCAAAAAAAAAAAAAAAAAAAAACCCTGCAAGCAGTAGTTATTATTGCTCCAAGACAACTTTATGGAGGCAAATACATTATTGTAAGTTTTTTTTTTTTGGCATTTTTAATCCCCTTTCTTCCTTCCAATAACACTTATTTAAAAGAAACACAAAGTTGATTTTCTTTGTTAATAGTGACTGGCATAATGATGACCCCTTCCAAGTGACAGTTATTTGAATCTGTTCATAAAAGGTTATCAGCACATGGATGAGAGGCCATTCAGCTGTATCAAGAGTCCCGTGAGTCTGGTAATGAGGATCCTAATCCACATTTTTTTTTTTTTGACAGGCAGAGTGGACAGTGAGAGAGAGAGACAGAGAGAAAGGTCTTCCTTTGCCGTTGGTTCACCCTCCAATGGCTGCTGCGGCCAGCGCGCTGCAGCCGGCGCACCGCGCTGATCCAATGGCAGGAGCCAGGAGCCAGGTGCTTTTCCTGGTCTCCCATGGGGTGCAGGGCCCAAACACCTGGGCCATCCTCCACTGTACTCCCTGGCCACAGCAGAGGGCTGGCCTGGAAGAGGGGCAACCGGGACAGAATCCGGCGCCCCGACCGGGACTAGAACCCGGTGTGCCGGCGCCGCTAGGCGGAGGATTAGCCTAGTGAGCCGCGGCACCGGCCCTAATCCACATTTTCTACAAATGTCTAACGGACCCTCTGATGGGATCAGTGTGCCTGGGAGAGCAGGGACCTAGCCCCAGCTCCCAGCACCACTGGACCTTCAAGAGTCTCAATCTTTTTATTTTTATTATTATTTTAAATGAGAAGCAGAGAAGGAGAGCACTCACATCTGCTGGTTCTCTCCCCACATTTCCACAATGGTCCTAGACTGGGCCAGGGGCCAAAGCCAGCCATGGAAACTCAGTCCTGCTCTCGCACAGCAGGAGGCAGAAACCCAATCACTTGAGCCATCTCCACTGCTTCCCAGCCAGGATCTGCATTAGGAGGAAGCAGGAGTCAGGAACCTGAACTTAGCATCAAAACCAGGCACTCAGATACGGGACATGAGTGTCTTAATCATTAGGCCTAAATGCCCAGCCCCACATTCTATTACTGTTATGTCTGCCCACCTGTTTGTTTGTTTGTTTGTTTTTTCAGTCTACCCCTAAACACCTTATTTTCTCCCGCTGTCATCCCTAGGCCGCTTACAACTCACAGGTGGACATGACACAGGACTGAGGTGAAGTTTTCACCTGTCTGCATCCAAGTTAAGTGGGATGTGGGGAGGATACATCCAGGAAGCTTTCTGATAAGCTGTTCTTTTATTGTCAATCAATCGATTGACAGGCAGAGTGGACAGTGAGAGAGAGACAGAGAGAAAGGTCTTCCTTTTCTGTTGGTTCACCCCCCCCAATGGCCGCTGCGGCCGGCACACCACGCTGATCCAAAGCCAGGAGCCAGGTGCTTCTTCCTGGTCTCCCATGCAGGTGCAAGGCCCAAGCACTTGGGCCATCCTCCACTGCACTCCCAGGCCACAGCAGAGAGATGGACTGGAAGAGGAGCGACCCAGACAGAATCCGGCGCCTCAACCGGGACTAGAACCCAGGGTGCTGGTGCCGCAGGCAGAGGATTAGCCTATTGAGCCACGGTGCCGGCCCTAAGCTGTTCTTACTCTGAAATGATAGTTTTCCTTTTATTTGCTTCCATCTGTTTTGATGTTAAATTATCCTTGTGTTTCTAAAACATCAACACTAGTTCTTTGTCTTTGTCTCTCACTGTTAATGTTCTTAATTTCTTTTTAAATATTTAAAGAGCTACAGAGAGAGAGAAGGAGAGGCAGAAAGAGAGAGAGAGAGAGGTCTTCCATCCACTGGTTCACTCCCCAACTGGCTGCAACTGCCAGAGTTGTGCTGATCTGAAGCCAGGAGCCAGGAGCTTCCTCCAGGTCTCCCGCGCAGGTGCAGGGGCCCAAGGACTTGGGCCATCTTCTACTGCTTTCCCAGGCCATAGCAGAGAGCTGGATCGGAAGTGGAGCAGCCAGGACTCAAATCAGCACCCATTTGGGATGCCGGCACTGCAGGCGGCGGCTTTACCTGCTACTCCACAGCGTCGGCCCCAATGTGATTCTTGAATGCCATATCAGAGTGCAAGTTTGAGTCCCAGTTGCTTCGTTTCTGATCCAGCTCCCTGCCCAGGTACCTGGGAAAGTAGCAGAAGATGGCCCAAGTACTTGGACCCCTGCCACCCACATGAGAAACCTAGATGAGGCTCCTGGCTCTTGGTTTTGACCTGGCCCAGACCCAGGCTTCGAATCCATCTGGGGAATGAGCTCTCTCTCGCTCGAACTAAATAAATAAATTTAAAAAACCAACAAAAGCTTCCCTTCCTTACTGGGGTGATAGCTGCTTCAGTGAGGTGTCAGGTTTAAAACTCCTAACCTGGGAGTGAGCATTTGGCACAACAGCTAAGACATTGCCTGGGATGCCTGTATCCCATGCCGAGGTTTGAGCTGCTGCTCTGCTCTCCATCATTGCAGTTTCTTTCTGATGTGCACCTGGGAGGCAGGAGGTGATGGCCAAGTATTTAGGTCCTTGCCACCTATATGAGAGACATGGATTGAGTTCCAAGACTCTTGGCTTCTGCCCGGCTCAACCCTTCCTGTTGCAGATGTTTGAGGACTGAACAAGCAGGTGGAAGTATGCTGCTTGACTTTCAAATAAATAAATAAAAAATCCAACATAATGCATGATTTACAGTGAATGCTCAATGTTTGTCCCCTGACCTTGTATCACTCAGAGAATTAGATGAAAAATGTTCAGTGCAACTAACAGAAGTAAGAGACTAAAAAGTGCTCAAATGTTATGTGAGGGAAGCATTGGTGGAGAGATTGGTATGAAACTGCTGTGTTGGGTACACGCTGCCTTCAGGAATTTTGAGGGGCATACACATAGCACATTGAGATGTAATTAGTCCTAGACAGGACGGGACATTGGACAATGTCTAATCCGGGGTTCAGCAAAGCAGGGACATGTCCCACTAGTGATATGAGTGATTTTTTTTTATGCAGGACACAGAGATAAAATGTTACTCACATAGTTACACCCCTTTCAAGTCCCTTAATCCCTCAGATTATAGCAATAAATTTCTCTCAGTTTAGGTTAAACTGTCTCTGATCACTCTAACGCTGAATAGGAACACATTTTTAGCAAAGCAGATGAGGCTTTGGGGTCATTTGATCAGGAAGCAAGAGTTTCTAGAGAAATATTGTCAACTTTGTGTTGTATTCCATTTATATTGATACAAAGAGTTTTAAGTAAATTTAAAATTTAAAATGAAGTAAATTTAAAATACAAAGATAATAATGATAAGATTATTGCAAGCAATCATGTCAGTGGCCCAACAATATGTGAGTTTTAGGAATTACTCATGATACACATTCCTCTATGGAAACAGAGGCTCAGAGAAAGGAAGCTATTCTTTTCCAAAATCCCATAGTGATCATTAGGAATGAGGCTCGGTTTTCCCCTGTGCAGCCTCATCTAACTCTGCATTAGATAAATTCCGCGTTAAGCCAAAAGTAACTGGGTAATAACAAGCCCAACAGACTTCGTATATCCGTCTTGTCAGGAAGGCATTAACTGGTTCAGGAGGCTGGCGTGTGCTACAGGGGAGGCTTGGAGTAGGCGAAGACGTGGGTAGCAACTGCTGGAGGCCCGAGCTCCTCGCGGAACGTAGAACAACTCCCAGCGGCACCCACAAAAACCTCTGGGGGCCCCCTCAAGGTGGCTGTGGCAGAGAGTCTTCTGGAAATCCAGCAAAGGTGGCTTGAATCCGGCCTCCCCAGTTGCCAAGAAACTCCCTGCGCCTCTCAGCTTACGTACTCATCTGTAACGACTGACAATAGCTAACATTTACTGAGCACGTATCCGCCAAGCCTGCCTTTGATGCGTTATCTCATTAACCCTTGAACTAAAGCTCGGAGCCAGCTATCATTCCCTGTGACGGGCGATGACAACTGGAGTCTCCGCGGTGACACTGCTTGTCTGCCGTCTAAGCAGACGGTGAACGGGTGGGATTCAAACTGAGGCAGTTCCAGTCCAGCCTGTAACGTTAACCACACCCCCGTCCAGTGAAAATCAACCGCGGCTAACGGCTGCGAGGCGCCTCGCAGAGGTCGTTAGGCACCAACGGTCACAAGAAGCCTAGCATCCAGAACTCTCTCTGCCACGCCCTGCCTCAGGACTTACAGCTCCCAGGATGCTCTGGGCGGAGAGGCTGGCCAATCAGAAAGCCCCAGGCAAAAACGCTGGCCAATAGGAAGCCCTTGCCTGCTTTCAACGGCTGCCAGCCCGGCGGAGCGGTCACAACTTCTGTGACGCTTGGTTGGGTGGGTCCATCGTGACGGAAGCTCTGTGTTTTACAGTGGCCTGCGGGGGTTTGGGAGGGTGAGGCGTTGAATGTCGAGGCCGCCCGAGGCACAGTGTCCAGCCCCTGAGAGTGGGCAGTCTGGATTCCGTGCCGGGCGTCTCTGAAGGCCTGGGGATGCCCCCCGGGCATAACTCGATGGCGGTGGGCTGGGCAGGGCAGGGACGGGGCCCGGTGTGTGCGGGCAGGGTCACTAGGAATTCATTTCAAAACTGTTTCCATTTAGCTTGGGAGGGTGAGGACTGTGGGAACGACCAGGTTGCCTTGGGCTTCTCTTAAGCTTCTGAGAGGACAGATGGACGGGTTGGCTTAGGGGCTTCCCTCGTGCGACCCCCCAAGGGCCTGAGGCTCTTCCCCTTGGGACGTAAAGAGCGGTTCGCTGGGTAGACCAGGCCGGGACTCTGGTTGTCAACAGGCGGGGGCAGGCCAGGGTCACTCTAAATGCTTTTGAGGAATAGTTTTAATGCCATTGGGGTGGCCAGGGGCTATGGAAAGTTCTAGGTTGCTTTAGGCTGATCTTGATCCCAGAGCAGGCCATTGGGCAGGCCAGAGGGCTTCCCTTGCATCCACAGGGCGGGCTGACGGGCTTGGCCTTGAGTGAAAACCGTGGGCCTAATGGCTGCCTCACACGGCCACGTCCTCTGAGCCAGGCCGCTGGGCCGCAGGGAGCCCTGGAGAACCAGACCCCCGGGGTGCAGAGCCAAATTTTTGGGCGTTTTTTGCCCATTTAGGTTCTGCTTCATTCTTGGTTTTAATTTTTTTTTTAACATGAGTTTATTTTTAAAGTGTTTAAATTCCATAAATTCATTTTAAAGTTTTTAAAGTCTACCACCCCTTTTCTGTTTTATAGCCCTTTTCTCTCAAACTTGAATCATTTGGTTAATCATGCCCAAGGAAGAGTCAGCAGTCACTTTTTATCATACAGGGGCTTGGAGCTGGGTGTGAAGTATCTTTTATTCATTGATATCTGGAAAACAAATTTCTTTTACAGTGGCCCTAAAGTGAGTGGGAGATAAAGGATCAATCTCCTTGGTTCTGGAAAAGACAAAGGCAAGCGTTGACGGAAAGGTTAGTTTTCCATCATTTTGGACAAGCAGTGGGACCCATCATCACCCAGCTGCCACATTGCTGGAGCTGTGTGTGCTAGCTAATTTGTTCAAGTCGTTTTGAGAGTAGTGTAAAGTTAGTTTCTAGTAAACCATCTCTTATATTTCAAATGCAATTGATTAAATACATGCACTGCATTTTCTGAACAACTTAGTAAGGGGTTGATTTACACATTTTAGTTAATCAAAACTGAAGTGTGTGTTGCTCTTAGCTCTTAACATCAAAATAATTGTCCTGCCATCCTTCTAGGAATGCATTATAATGAAATCTTATTTGGAATTTTACTGTGTACTTAAATCATATGTGGGCCCTGTCATTGAAGAATAGGTTAGAAAACAACTCTGATTTAAGAAAATTAGAGAAGCTCCAACATGAGAGATTGCAAGGCAGTTTGTCAGCGCTGAGGGTTTCTGAAAAGGGGGCATCTTGATTCCGTTGCAAGGGCCCTTCTTGTGGATATGGTGTGATGAAAGAATCTCATCCTAAGAAATTCAGTTGTAGTGTTTACATTGGAAAAATGTTATATGTGCTTTACTATGTTAAAGTTACAACCATTTGGAAAGACGTTTCACAATTATTTCCATTTTGAAATAAGGGGTTTTTTTTTTAGGAATACTGAAAATTTGTTTTTCAAAAGTACAAATGAATACTTGATTTACACATTGTTTTTGTCTTATAAAATCAGATGTTTCATAACAATGTTGCGGACCATAAGCTAAAGGTGGAAGCCATAATTAAAAATATTAATACAATTTCTTTGGAGTTAAAGAAGATGAAAGGTAAGTGTATTATCACTGTAAAAATGTTTGCATTGTCATTGTTATAAAACAGATAGTAGAGGTGATTTGTCCTTGTGTAGTGTAGTTAAATTTTGCCTACTAATCAGAATATTTTAAAGAGATATTTGCAATGCAATATGAACTAGATCTAGAAAGACAAATGATACTTGAAGATTGACCTGGGAGGCAGCAGGCCTGAATTCTCATCCCTGACACTAACAAGCTTATGATATTGCCTAACCTCTATAAATTTCTTTCCTACCTTTAAACACACTGTTTCCTGAATGTCACACTTCTCAAAATTCAACACCTTTACTCATGAATCCTTACTAAACCCCTAACATTCATTCTGAATTAAAATTATTAGTTTGATTCTGTGAGTTATGGTTTCTTCCTTTGAAAAGGAAGTAGATTCATTCACAGAGTAGGATTAAACCATATATGTCATGATGTGTAGCAACTCATCTCCTCAACATATTTTTATTTTATCCCAGACACATTAAATTTCTGGAATTGAATACTTTGAGGAATTTCACTAGTTGGCTCATTCCATCTTAGATAAGGTCCTCATATACTAGCTTAAATCAGTCCCCCTGTTCTTTCCTTCTGTGAATCCTACCTCTAACCATGAACGTGCCCTGAATAGTTGTTTCTTATAACAACTTTTGGATATTGGAGGATAGCCTCTGAGTCAGTTATGAGGCCTTAAACTGCAAGAACTGGATTGTCAATATGACTCATAAGGAATAACTGGAAGATTCAAAGAAGGCCAGTCTTAAACTTAATTCAGAGATTGAAAGATTTAGGCACTGGGTTCTTTCCATCTGCCTGCTCTTGTTCACTCTATCACTCTTCATGGTCATTTACCTCCAGAGATAGCCAAAATACAGATGCTGTCTGGCATATGAGCCTTTCCCCAGACCCCTCCAGTACATTTTCCTTTTCCTTTCATTGGCTAGATTTGCATCGCATGCACATGCCTATAGCGACCCTGGCCAAGGAGAATGAAACTGCCAAGACCAGTTTGGACCAGCCAGAACTTGCTGCTGGAGCTGGAGAGAGAAGCACCTCAAATGAAATACAGTTAAGCAACCAAGAAGAAGAGAGGAGTGACTGTTAGTTAGGTGCCAAATAGTGAGTGCCTGCTATGCTTTTTCCAACGTGTTTTCCTAGGGCAGCATTTCCCAGACTTCAGTTGTGAACCTGCTTTCTCAATAGAGGGTGCATAATAAAACAAAGCCCATGTTTCTGTGTCGGATGAGTTTGGGAAGTGCTTTAGGCTCTACATTTCTCTCATAAATTCACAGTGCCTATTAACCTAGGCTCTGAGGACTCTAAAGAGATCTCATTAGCTTTGCTTAATTCATCATCTCTGTAAACCAATGTCAGCACTATAGTGAAGATTCTTTTTCTAAATTGCAAATCTGAAAACCTTCATTGATTCACCATTGTCCTCAGAATAAAAGTCCAAGCCTCCTGGGATGAGTTGTATGACCTCTTGAGATCAGGCCCCTGCCTGCCTCTCCAGTCTCTCTCATTGTTTTCTCCCTGTGTGCTCTGTGCTTCACCCTGTTGAGCTATTTTCATATCCACAGTGCTGTTTTGTGTCTGCACCTTAACACATAACACTTCCTTTTAGAATTCCATTGCTATACCCCATCTCTACCGCACCAGGCTAACCCCTAGCAGAGAGCTGGATCAGCCGAGTATCGATCCAGTGCCCATATGGCATGCGGGCGCTTCAGGCCAGGGCATTAACCTGCTGCGCCACAGCGCTGGCCCCAGAGACTGTTCTTAAAGTAAATTAGAAATAATCAATCTGATAGGCACATTCTGAACAAGTGTATGGGCAATTCAGGCAGTTAGAATATGAGGGACATGTGAACTAGGCTAGGAGGGCAGACTCTGGTGAATAGAGATTAAATGTACATTCTATTTACTCTCACTTCTTCCCCCAAATGACAATGTCAATAGCTAAGACAGCATGCCATATCCAGGCACTCTTCTAAGAGCTCTACATAAGTGAACTTAATTATAACAACTCTATGAGACAGGAATTGTTGTCATTTAGAGATACAAAAATATTCTGAGAAAGTTCAAAGTCAACCAATTCTAGTCACTGATAGACCTGAGATTTAAATTGATTTTGGGAGACCAAAAATCTAAAATGATCTCAAGAAGAGATAACAAAACAGGAAACCAGTAGAAGCAAATAGACAAGTCTGAAGCCTAGAGTCTAACTCTGAACTCTAAACTGACTGAGTAAAGCCAAGAAATCGCCCCCAAGATTCCATACACACCAGAATCCTTTGAACATGAGGGTTACTAGAAAGTTATTAGTGGAAGGACTAATTGTTTCAGAAATTACAAACCCCTGAGGTTTCTATATAACTGGGCAACTGTCATGTGTCCCTTCTCTGTCACAGAAATTTCAAAGTTGAAACAAGGCATCTGTGGCCTATAGCTTGTACCACAGCCCAGGGAGAATACTAAAAATTAGGGATATTAAGACAATGTTTATATACTAAATTACAAGACCCCCACCCCACCCCCAGTTTTTTTTTTTTTTTCATGTAGTTACCAAGACACCAGCAAGTTGTATTTCTGCTTTCAAAAATTTTCCTTTCAGAACAGTAGCAGCCAGATGTATGTCCTCTAAGGGCTTTCTTTCAGGAATCTGACCATCCCAAGAGAAAAGACCTAAAGATACTGACAGCAGAGGTTTGCACAACAAAATAATCCAACGAGATCACCCCACTGTCTAGACTACCATGGACACGGAGCTTCCAGTTGTTTTTGTGCCATGGTCTTAAATGTGAGCAAACAACTATGGCACAGCAGATTTTTGAGGAGTCTAATAAAAAATGACAAAACCAACATATAGGAACAAAAATTATGAGGAAAGATAAAACTGTCAAGAAACTACATTAATATTCATGGAGAACCTAAGGGAAAATGGTATAACCATAAAGAAGGAATAGGATACTAAAAACAGAGACCAGTAGGAGCTCTTGGAAATTCAAAGTTGACAATAGACATGAAAACTCAAAGGGTCGAAAAATAAAAATAAAAATAAAAATAAAAATGAAATTCCCTTATAGAGTAAAATGACAGAGAAGGAACACGTTGGAAGGCAAGGAATGGGAAAAATGTTTACAAGATTAGTGAAGGAAGAGTCTTAGACATTGCAGCCAGTAGAGTAGATGGGGGCAATTCATTAAGGAAATAGTATAAAATTCTGAGAACTGAAGAACAGGAGTTTCTACAATGAGAGAACCCAACACAATGAAAGTAGACCCATACTAAGGTGCAATATTATGAAATTTCAGGATACTGGGAGGACAAAAAGATCTGTAAAGCTTCTGAGGAGAAAGTCATCAGGATGAAGAGTTAGAATCGTGTGAAAATTCTCAGAGCAACACTGGGAACTAGAAGGCAATGCAGCAGTGCCATCGGACAATTTAGTCATTTTTAAAAGCTAAATTAGGAATAGCTATTTAATGCAGTCATAGTTGCTTATGACATGTGAAATATTCTGCTTTTTCTACAGAACTCTCCCAGTTACTGCTTTGTGACCTCACTCTGCAGTTTAATCGTCCTGTGAAGACAGAGGACGCACAGGAAGCAGAAAGAAGCAATCCTCTCTTTGAAGAATCTGAAATAACAGATGCACCCCTTTCTTCTAACAGTTTTTCTGTCTGATTTCTTGTTAATGTCTGTTTTTATTATTGAATTATCTGGGAGTATTGAGTTTATTAATATACTTACTATAAAAAAACCAAAATAAAAATAATGTGAAGTTGTAAATAAGTGTTTAATATTCTTATGAAGCCTGGTTCATTTTTTTTAAATTACTTATTTGAGAGGGAGACAGGGAGGGAGAGAGCGCGCTCCCATGTGCTGTTTCACTCCCCAGATGCCTACAAGAGCTGACTTGTCCAGACTAGAGCCAGAAACCAAGAGCACTTAGTGTCTCCCATGTAAGTGACGGGGAGGGTCTGCGTGAGCAGAAGCCGGGCTAGGAGCTGCAGTAAGGTATTGAACCTGGGAGTTCCAGTCTGGGATGTGGGCGTCTCCACTAGCTTCTTAACCCCTAGGTTGAAGGTCTGTCCTTCATTATTAATATTCCAAAGAGTGACTGATTTATTTCATTAATGGCACAAATATGCCATGGGGAGCACTGCTTTTACCTTATTCTGGCTCCGCTCAGGCCGGGGAGCCAAGTGTGGGTGCCTGTGTCCTGCTCAGAATCAGTCCAACTCGAGGCCTTGCCGCACCGGGCAGGGCTCAGCTGGAGGGCTGGACCAGGGCAGTGGGCAACTGCAGAAGTACCAGCGGTGGTGGTGTCGATGACAGCACAGCTGAGCTTCAGGTTCCTATCATTTCAGTCACAACAGTGGAACACCACACCTTTATCCTAAAAATTCCTAATTGGTCACTTTCCACCAAGAGATTTAAAATACATTTTTATTTGCCTTGTAAGCATGAATCTCTTTTAAATCTACCATGTTTTCCATTTTAGTTGTTGAATATAAAGGATAAAATACTGTGAAGCAAGACAGAAGTGGCGCTCACTCCACAACAGGACTTGGGGTGTGTGCCATCCTTGCTTCCCACTCCCTTGCTCAGTTTCTAACAGGGAACAGGCAGTAAAACATATTGAACATCCTGTTGAATAAACATGAATAAATGCAATTTTTTCTGTCTTTGAACTCCCAAGTTCTGGACCTTGACTTCTGATTTCTAAGGTTGAGGTTTTGTGAAAAAATATTTTTAGCACCACTATTTAAGTCTCCACATTAAACATACTTCTTAGCTTATCTTCATTTGTAACCTGGTCCCTTCTAAGTTCCTTCCAATGTTCCTTTTATTAGCTCATGAAAATAAAGGTGCACTCAAAAACCCGTAGGTTAAGCAGAGAAATCAAAAATTTTTGTTTTTCATCAACTTGTGCAATAATAACCAGCACCCCAAAGGGAAGGGGCTTGCAGAACAACACATGTGCACTGTTTTGCTGAACATCAGGCTATTACTTGTTAATTACCTATTCCAGATGTTCCTCCACTTATACCCCAATAAATCCATCGTAAGTTAAAATGGATTTAACCTATCAAACGTCATAGCTTAGCCTAGCATAGCTTAAACACACTCAGAACATATGAACCTAGAGTTAGGTAAAAATCTAACACAAGGAGGGCTGGCACTGTGCCATGCCCTGCAATGCCGGCATCCCAGATGGACGCTGGTTCTTGCCCCTCTTCTGATCCAGCTCTCTGCTAAGGCCTGGGAAAGCAGTGGGAAATGGCTCAAGTGCTTGGGTCCCTGCACCTGTATGGGAGACCTGGAAGAAGCTCCTGACTTCGGATTGGCACAGCTCCAGCCATTGCAGCCATTTGGGGCGAGAACCAGCAGGTGCCTCTGCCTCTGTAACTCTGCCTTTCAAATCTTTCAAAAAAAATCTAACACAAAACCTGTTGGAATGTTGCATATCATGTGATTTATTGAATACCTGTATAAAACATGCAACACAATCTACCGTAGCAAGAGTATCCATTGCGTCCCCTCATGGTGACATGGCTGACTGGGAGTTGTGTTCATCACTGCTGAGCACGGGGAGAGAGGATGGGATCCCACATCACTAGTGTAGGTGTCTACTGAGTTTGAATGTATTGCTTTCACCCCACCATAATACTAAAGATTAAAAAAAAACAACCATAAGTCAAAGACCGTATTTTTTGCTAAGTGAAATTCATAAACTGAAGTGAAGAAGTGAATTGCTTTAAAGAATTTAGTAAGCTGATTTGGGAAGGATGAGAAGTGCTTTATGGCAGACTTGTCACAGATAAAAAAGAACAATGCAGTATGAGGGCCCCTCAAAAAGTTAATGGAAAATGGAATTAAAAAAATTTAGCACAAAAAATTTGAAACTCATCCATTTTTTTTTTTTTTAATAAAAACAGGCCTTCCATGAACTTTTTTGAAGACCTCTCATGCTTGGTAGGAAACCTAATCTGAACTTCCTACGTAGAAGCCTTGTCCCTTCATTGCCCTGTGAGCTTTCAGTAAGGTCTCCATTGCACAGCTGGGATGGGCTGCAATGTGGGTGCGACTATGGGGATGTTATGAAGCGCCCACTTAAACCCAACAGCATATGACACAACACGGCCTCTTCACCTTAAAAATGGTTTCTGCTGGTGTTTGTAGCTTAAGTTTGCTTTCAAACAAAAACTTGTAGTATGGACTACACACTAAAGTAGTTTTAGGAACCCAAAAGTAAAGCAAAAGACCACTTTAAACTCAGGAAGTTAGCCCAACACGGCATTTATCTTTTCATACAAATAATACACAAAAATCTCACCAGTAAAAAAACAGCAAAGAAGGAATGAAATCAGATTTTTGAAGACTTTTAAATTATTACTGCTGACGAAAGAAATCGTATCATTCAGATTACATGTATAAAGCTGATGACTGACTCTCACTGACAAAGGTTTGGCTATTAAATCAGTTTTATAGATTACCAAAGCTATTTGTTTCAGTATTTTAAAACTTGCCCCAGATTATTTTTCTAATGGTGTAAACTACTGTACTTTTGAAATGAGCATCCAAAGATTCATTTGTGAAAGTGAATTATTGTAGCACAGTACTAGGCTTCTAGTGTGAACATGATTACCCATTAACTTTACAATGAAGAATAAATAAATTATGGGATATTTGACAGTCTTTGTTTCAAACTCTTTTTTAAAGGGAAGGGCAAAATTCTGTGTTCATGTTGAGTCTGAGTCCATTCTAAGTGCTCATCCATCCACCAAGGTTGACAGATCTCCTTGTGTTGGCAACAGAGGCAGGAGGAAGGTCCATATGCTTGGCTAACTTGCTATGGGTACCCTGCAGCATGTGTTAATGTGCACTGGTATCTGGAGCCTCGATTTTTCCCATCAATGAGCAGAAGTGGCATTTTCTTGAAGTAGTCAATAATATCTGACACAGACAAAAAGTCCTGAAAAAGTCAAAACAAAGATAAGTCAACAGTGGACTGCACAGCCTGAATTTCATCCTCAGTGTATCTGCATGCTGTATCTCATCTCTTCAGTTATGGGGATGGTGAAAGAAAATGTCAAATTTGGCTAATAATATAGTGATTGTCCTATAAAACGTTAAAAACTATTCCTAACCAACATTCAAAAAGATCATGGGTGAAAGACAAATGTGTTGATATTTTAGCTTCACATAAAAGGTCAACTATCCTGAACATTCTAAGGATGATACCTCTGCCTTGGGATTTTTCTGTTTGTCTTAGGTTTTTGTTTCTGATTTCCCTACTTCCGCCCTAATTGTTATTAGCAGTGTTGTGAGGTATAAGGAATCAGGAAGTCACACGGGGTTCCTGGTGAGTAGATGTGATATCTAGAGCCTGTTCTTAAGGGAAGTGCACAGTCCTGCTTGGGACAGCTCGGTTACTTCCGGTGCAGATTTAGAAGGGAGTTTTTCTCAGGCTGCCCAGCACAGTGAGGTGATTCAGGGTATGCATGTGTAAGTCGTGGGTGAGTTGCTTCTCTTCCGGGGAATGTTTGATGCAGCCCATCTTCCTCCTGGAACTTTGAGCTTAAAGGGCATGCTGGAACATTCAGCTTAGTTGTTAGCTTCCTTTCTGAAAGTTCACCCGTGGGGGGTTTCTTTTCCATGCAAAAAAGTGGGAATCCAAACTTTGCTGGGCACAGGGAACTTTCTTTGGCAAGCTGGCCACTTTCACAGAACCAGAGCTCCATGTTTAATAAGAAAAGGCCCAAGTGTCTAAATAATCACCCCGGCAAGCAGCCTAGTGTTTACCCTTTCCCAGGTGGTTCTGTTTTTCAAAATAGCTGTATTTTACATTATAACAGTGTCACAGAGGTGAATATGGAGAGGACTTGCCATTGGCACCATCCCACTAGAGGTTTTCAAAATTAAATGTTGGCCTGTATTTCCCTGAGAAAGACGCTTATGGCAGAATTAGCCTCTATTCATATTTTGCTCTATTTCCTTTCTAGTCAATAAAGAGCTTCACTAACAGGAAGGATCCGCCTGTGAGGTTGCTGTGCAGTGTGGTTTCCCAGAGAAGGCAGCAGCAGCTTCACAGAAGTAGGCAGAGAAGTGGACGAAGAGAATTGGGGGAAATTTTCCCACGTGGAGTCCTTACCTCTTTCCCTCGGAGTCCAGTTCCCAGCAAGTACACTTGACTTTCCTCCTGATAACGGATCTGGATGTTGTAAACTTTATCTTTGTACAACACCATGAGGACGTACGGGTTGCTTATTGTTTTTTTAGAGCTGTCTCTAACCAGAAAAGTGCCATCCTAAGAGGATAAATTCTTGTTATTATGGGAGCAGTAAAAGTCAATACTCTTCTTGCCTGTCGGAGCAGCAGAGAGATCTCTAGGGAACTGCAAGAGCTGTCAGTTGATGAGTCAACTAACATTCAGTTCGGCAAACAACCACGGAGCCCACGGGGCTGGATGTTTTTGATTATCAAGAAAGAGGCAACGGAGGCTTTATCAGAGGAATTTCCAGGTCGACCTCTTCAAAGTCTCTTGATAATCTTTTTTTTTTTTTTCTCAGTAGTAAAACAAATAACAGGTGATTGACTCCATAAGGGTCAGGAGAAATAGGATTTTATTGGTTAACACAAGATAAATCTTTCTCCTTCCTGTGAGTTCATTTCCTAGTTCTTCCTTTCTACATCCAAAGTCGGAAACCATGCAGATACCTATGAAATTCATCTCCTTTACATTCTTGCGTGTGCATCATCCACCTGACTAAAAATGAATGTGGACCATCTGCGCTCTCACCACTGTTTTTCCCTGATATTTCCTAGTGCTGTGACTGTACTTTCGGTTTTCATTCTATGAATTACTGCTACCTAATAGTAACCTATAAAGATCTAACATTAAAGCAGTCGGTGAGGACTCAGACCACTTCCTCTGCTGTGTACTAAGTCGTGGTGGCTGTAAATAGCCATCCGCCCACAGCAGTGCCCTTCTGCTCTTCTCATTCCAGGTTCATTAAGCCAGTCGGAATGTTTCTGCTCAACAAGCATGTCTCTGGATCAGGGACTCACAGCCTCAGCCTAGAGCTTGGAATTAGAATCGCCTGGGGAATTCTGAAGCCCCCACGGTACCCCCAACTCATTAAAATAAGACCTTTCCACTTGAGACCCAGGAATCAGGATTTTTTTTTAAACGCTCAGGTGATTCAAATATGCAGATAAGGCTGAGAAAGAATGTTCTAGAATTTAATTTAAAAAATATTTTATTTAAGAGGGAGAGAGAGGGGGGTTACCCCCAATCTGCTGCTTCTCTCCACCCATGCCAGCAATGGCCAGTACTGGGTCAGGCCAAAGCCAGGAGCAAGGAATTCAATCCAGTGGCAAAAATTCAATCCGTTGAGCCATCACCACTACTTTGCAGGGTCTGCATTACCAGGAAGCTGGAATCAGGAGCCAGACCAAGAATCAAACCCGGGTACTCCTGTTTGGTGCTAGGCCAAACACCACCCTGTTGTAGAAAGTCAGAAGTGAAAAATGAAGGCACTTTCCTTTTCCTCTCTGATAGACTTCATTTTAAGGTCCAGCACTGGGCCACAAGGGAATCTGTTTAACACATTAGATTATTAAATTCTAGCCAGAAATTTCTAGGAGAAAGGGCAAAAAGTTGCTATCTCTTTCAGTATGGGCCCTTTTGCCTTGAGAGTTGGCAGCTCCACATGAAGAGGAAGATAGAATTGATAAGATATTAGAAATTTGAGAGAAAGGGAGTACCCTTTTGACACAAACGATTCCTCCAGTAAGACAAATACTTTTCATTAATACAATCTTCTAAGATTCTACCAACCAAATGATTGCCTTAATTGAGATTTTTCTGCTATCCAAATGGTTCCCAGTTCTAGGAATCTTCCTATGGATGCTGGTAGATATGAGCTAGCACTAATGGGTCTCATAGGAAGAGCGCCAGGCAGAATTCCTAGACCATAACTGGTGCTCAACACAAGTCAGTTCCCTTCTCTTTCTATTAATATTTATAACTACTTAAAAATAAACTCTAGCACAATACCTGGTTTATCTTTCTCAGAGCAGCTTCTGCCTCCGGTCGGGTAATGTAAGAAACATACCACTCTTCATTTAATGAATTCTGAAAATATAAATTTTAAAACTGAATAAATTTTGCAGTTACATATGTAAGGGAAAAGCAAAGCTTCCAAGTAACAATTTCCATAAATCACCACCTCAGTTCCATGAGGTTTGAAACATTTGTTTGCTCAATTTGAATGCAGAATCACAAAGGTAGGGCTAAATAGAAGACATTGTGTGTGAACTGCTTTCTATCATGATATGGGTTGAAAAGGTAGTTGTGAATAAGTGTTGCTTATGTTCTGGAGCCTTTGATCAGGAAAGAAAAAAGTACAACAGTTTCTTCAGTTTAATATACAGTAATAACCTATTTAATGAAAAAAACTGTTAATGAGCAGGTAAGTGACTTTTTCAAGGTCATAAGCTGGAAAACAGACGAAAAATATAATTATGTCTTACATTGTTTAATGCAAAACACACATCTGCCCCGGAGGTGTGTGCTAGAATACCAAGAAAAAGAACATATTTTTTATCTGAATCCTCCCCTTAAAATGTTTTTTTTTCAAGAAAAGAACATAAAACTAGTCCATGATAAAAGTATGGAAGAGTACTCAATGGGAGGTTGTGGTGGTCCATTTGCCAGGGGGAAAAACAAAAGTTAAAACATGTGCTTCATACCTCCTCTTCCCCAGGGGATGGTGGCTGGGGTTTGCTTGGCACCGGGATGGGCAAGTTCCTGCCTTCAGCTCTGAGAGGTGATCTGTTGCTGGAGCCTTCAAAGTACACATTTTGAAAGTCAATTTACTGTAAGTTATGGTTTACCGCTGTCATCACACACACACATGCACGAGCACATGCCCGCCTTTATAACTGTTCTACTAATTAACATTTCAAGAAAACAGGGCTTCAAAAATAATGTTCACCTGTTCAAAACCACAAGGCTGCTCATAAAACATGCCAGTAAAACTTTGAGAGTGAAACCTCAAATTGAGTGACTTCCTAAATGTGCGTGAAACATGATATAAAGTGACTAGATCCATTGATGGAAAAGTCACCATTTTCACACGCACATCAAGAGGAATATTCCAGAAGCAGATCTTTCATACACTCCAGCAAATCCACACGCCCAGAATGGATTCCCAACAGCTGGGGCAGTGACACTGCAGTGATAACAATACTCATGTTCTTGTTTCATAAAGGAAATGTAAGGTACCCAAGACAAAATGAATTGAGAATATTGCTAGCTTTTAGGACCAACACTGCCTGCTGTTCTTTTTTTTTTTTTTTTAATTTTTAATGTATTTATTTGAAAGGCAGAGAGAGAGAGAGAGATTGAATCCTCCAAGCACATTTGCCAAAAGCCTACAACAGCTGGGGATAGGCCAAGCTAAAAGCAGAAGCTGAGAACTCAGTGCGAGTCTCCCACCTGGGTGACAGGGGCCCAAGTCCTTGAGTCATCACCTGCTGCCTCCTGGGGTGTGCATTAACAGAAAGCTGGACTCCAAAGCAGAGCTGACACTCCAACCCAGGACTCTGTTATGGGATGAGGGCATCCGAGGCCTGCCACACTTGCTGTGCCTTACTGAATTCCCTAAGTGGTAGCACTGCCCAGCACATAGAAGACACCGCAGGGTTTCTGTTCAACCAGGGTGACCCAGGTCTCCCATCTCACCTCCTTTAAAGCTGCTTTTGTGTTTTCAGTTCCCTGAAACTTTATGAGAATACATTTCCTTCTCGCAGGAAAGCTTTGGTTGTGTTGACTGTGGTTGCCAAGGCTGTTTAGAACAGCTGTAACAAACTGGAACATTCTATTAGCTGAATGTTCTCTTCATTAGCCATCCGTCACCTACTTGTTCACTCAGCAAATGTGTCCTCGGTACTTCTCTTGTCCAGGCCTTGAGTAGGACACTGTGTGTACACTACCTTCATCTTCAGAGAACCGCAGGGTGGGTGCTGTATCTCGTGTAGGAGGAAACAGGCTCAAGAGCCTGAGCAAATTGTGTGCAACAGTGGCAGGCAAGCCATGGCCCCAAACATTACTGTACCTGAGTGAGAATCCCTCAGGGACTTTGACCGGCCTAGGGCCTGGGAATAGGCACGTTTACAAGCACCACATCTACATGGCTACTTTACCTGGGAAGGGCCGAGCACTTTGGACCAGGATTACTGAAGGCAGCCTTCCCTGTTTTTAAAATAGCAGATAAGGCAGGCTCTGGGCTTCCAGCGCCTTCCTCTTGCAGGTTCCCAGACAGACAGACCTCCCCAGTCCCGTCTTTCCACCGCTACACTGCTTATTGAACGAGTGAAATCTAGCAGTCCAGGAGAGGAAGAGAACCAGGCCTGTAGCACACGGCTGTTTCGGAGTTGGCCAGCACCCTGCAGCCGTGATTTATAGTAGACAAGCACGTGCACGTCTTATTGCAGTCACCTGCCACCCTGAATAACCAGGTCCTCAAGAGAGCTGTGACAGGTTTGTGGACCGTGCACAACACAACCTTTAACTTTGGAGCAGCCAGTGGAGAAGCCTCAGGGAGACAAAGGATCTATTTAAATGAAGATCTAATTAAATTTAAAGTTGCAAACACAAAATGAATGATCTGTATTAATAATCCTCGTCGACTCTTCATAAAGCCAGAGCGCTGCGGAACTTATTTTGGGAAATATTGCTAAAGAATCTGGAACTTAGATGGCTACTGGGACCAGGCAGGTAACACAAATGTGGGTTCCAAAACACAGCGAGTTCTGGGGATTGTGGAAAATTGAGGGGGGGGGGTACTGTGGAAGCCCTGTCATGAATAAGGATGCTATGCCCTCAAGTGCATACAAAACAATGAAAATTAGTGTCAGCAGTGTGACCTCATCACATGTGGAATAATATATCCAATTGAATACAATAGATGTGCCCTTGAAATAAGTTCATCCTTGAGCTGTGAGTCAAACTTGCGAATGTACTTCTCTATTTAAAATACACTTTTAAATAGTTCTCTATTTCAAACCAAATATCCAGTAGATAGTTTTTTTTTTTTTTTTTAAATTTTTTTTTTTTTGACAGGCAGAGTGGACAGTGAGAGAGAGAGACAGAGAGAAAGGTCTTCCTTTGCCGTTGGTTCACCCTCCAATGGCCGCCGCGGCCGGCGCGCTGCGGCCGGCGCACCGCGCTGATCCGATGGCAGGAGCCAGGAGCCAGGTGCTTTTCCTGGTCTCCCATGGGGTGCAGGGCCCAAGCACCTGGGCCATCCTCCACTGCACTCCCTGGCCACAGCAGAGGGCTGGCCTGGAAGAGGGGCAACCGGGACAGATTCCGGCGCCCCGACCGGGACTAGAACCCGGTGTGCCGGCGCCGCTAGGCAGAGGATTAGCCTAGTGAGCCGCGGCGCCGGCCCTCCAGTAGATAGTTTTATTAAAAATGCAGGACACTGGGGAGTGGGCGTTTAGCCCAGTGGTTACAATGTCCAGGTCCCACTTCAGAGTGTCTGGGTTTGAGTCCCAGCTCTGACTCTGGACTCCGGCTTTTGGTGGATGCAGACTTTGGGAGCAGTAGTGGTGGTTCAAGTGATCGTGTCTCCGTCACTCAACGTGGAAGACCTAGATTGAATTCCCAGCTCAACTGAGTTCTTCAGCTCCCAACCCAGCCCTGGATGTTGTAGGCATTTGGGGATTGCATCAGCAGAAAAGAACTTTTTTCTCTCTCTCTGTGTCTCAAATAAATAAATAATTTAAAACACACACACACACACACACAAACATGTGTTTCTTCATATGACCATTACTGCAAAAAAATATTTTGTTCCTCTTTCACAGCATTTTGAAAAGTCAATATTTTAAAATTGGGGAATTTTGCATAAAGGATATCTTAACTTTTCCTGCAAAAGAAATTAGATAATACCAGGACAATTTTCTGGCATGATAAAATTTGTTAGGTTTGGGTAACTTTCCACAGCTTTTCAACAAGCATTTTAAGTTTCATATGTCAGTCACTTGGAAAGCCTCAAGATTAAAAAAGAAACACAGCCAGTCCTATCCTGTAGGCCTCTGCTGTTCCTCAGAGTGGCCCAGCAAAGTCCCGGCAACTTGTTAGAAATGCACAGTTTAGGTCTCACTCCAGAACTGCTGAATGGGAATCTGCATTTTCACACAATTTCCGGGAAATCTGTATGCACATTTGTTAGAGAGTGTTCTAAGCAAACAAATACTCAGAGGTATTATTATTAAAATGCAGGCCCTGGGCCCCACTCCAGACTAATTGGATCAGAGTCTTGGAGGCTGGGCTCTCTTCATCTGTATTTTAAACATGCTTCCCGACTCATTATGAAAACCTAAAACTACAGAGAAAGCCAAGAACTGCTCTGGGCTCTGCACGGAAACCGAAGAAATAGCTCCACGTGGGAAGATTAGGACTTAGGGATAGCTGCCTGGCGGGGTATGTGTGTGTGTGTGTGTGTGTGTTTTGGGGTGTTTTAGGCAGTTTAGGCATCATTTCAACAACCCTTGGTACACTGCAGACAATTAAATATTGAGTGAGGAAGTCAGATGCATTTAGGAAACAACCAAACCTTTCTCACAAGGCTTTGGGGTATGTTGGGAATCCCATCACAAAGACATGTTGGCTGGAGTGAGTGACCAGAACTCAGAGTACTGGAGTACAAACCTTGAGAGAAGTATGGTGGCAGGGAAGCACTCTGTGGAAAGCTGCTGTTACTGCGGAGACAGAGACAAGGAATTTCAGGTGGGCTTGGGGTGATGGGGCCAGACTGCAAATGCCTCCTCCCTTCTTTCTGCTTCCCACCTCCCACACTGAAACCGTGGCTCTGGGGAAGGGGAAGAAACCTATTGGACACATTGCACTACTGCCCCGACGTACCTGCCCAAAGTTGAATAGGTAGCGCAAAGACAAGCAAAGGTTTAACAGCAACAATACGACTATGCAAAGGCCATTCAAAAGTTGCATTAAAAAGTTGCCTTCAGTATGATGTCCTGGAGTGTGAAGAATGGCAAAAGCCCTCAGGAGAGGACTTCCCTTTTGACAGGGAAATGCGTTAGTGGGCATGTTGTTTGTGCACAGTGATCTGCAAGGGCCTAGTGGCTGCAGAGGGAAGATGGGGTAGGCAAGGAAAGAGAGCGCAGGAAGGCACTGCATCCAAGGGTGACCATATTCACAGGGACTAGAGTGGGGCTGGAGAGTCTGTGGGGTCCCTGAGAATCTGCCCCACCCATGCTGAGCAGGAACATCCCCCCATTAACCCAAACCTTAAGGACAAGTGTGCTCTACACAGCAACCTCATGTGGGTGGTACTTTTCAAGAACCAGTGATGGGTGTTGTGGCCCCGGGTAGGATGGAGCAGTATGGGAAAAAATGGCAGACACAGCAACAAAAGGAAACCAGCTGCAAGAAAGAGAAGCAGCAGCAGAGAATAAAGGCACGCGGCACCCAGGGAAAATGAGACAGTTTGGAAATCCCCCCAGATATCCAGCAGGCGCAAATGGGTCCTGCTGGTTGTTGAGTTGTCTACAGTATCTGGGTAAAGACTTGGGCTTCTCTCTGTGGACACTGAAGGCCAGCGTGAGTCCAAGGGGCTGAACGCCCTGGGGGACACCCCGAGGCACTTCTGTCGGCTTCTTTGCAGGGGGATTCCTGCGGCTTTCTCCTTTTCTCCTGTTTGTACGCCTCTGCCTCTGGCTGGCCTTATTACTCCTGAGAAATGCAATTGTTATTGACAAAAAGGACCCGCTGGGAACAGAGGTGCATTCTCTCTGCCTCCCCTCCCCCCATCCAAGATGCAGGAGGAACTCTGAGTACTTCAGTGAATCGGGGTTCTCCAGGGGTGTTTTCTTGAACTCAAAACATTTCCCCATTCTCTACTACTGAGCCCATTCTATCTGGGGTGCCCTCCTACCCAAACACAGAGACCACAAGGGAATGGATTAGCATGCTGTTCTCAAGACGCGGCTCAGTTTTGATGTTTTGATTCTTAAGAGCCAAAATATTCATACTCTACTCCACTCTGGCTCACTTCTTTGTTGTCCAAGCACCCAGCATCAGCACAATGTCAGGTGGGCCCAGATGCTATGAGCAGATAGAACTTAATGGCATAGCCACACACCTGTCTGAGAATGCTCCGGGCATGTGGGATGATGGGAAGGGGTGCTTGGGGCTTGGCTTGGTAGATCTCGAAGGGAAAGTGTTGGAGCTCATGGAAAGCAGTGCTGGCTGAGGCAAAGGTCTTTGATGTACTGCGGGAGAGAAGAAAACAAATAGATTGTCAGGACCCAGATGTCACTCAAGAACATTCCAGAGCAGCTCCTCAGTTAGAGACTACTATTGCAAAGCCAGATACAAAAACTTGAAAGACCAGCTGAAACTGGAGAGTGGTAGGATGGACCCCACCCCCCAAGGTTTTCCTAGATGATTTACCATCTTAGAATGCATTTTACGAGTGCCGCTGCTCTATAATGTTCTCTCTGCTACAAATTTATTCAGTTCGTGCTCATTTTTGAGATGCTAACTTGGCATAAAATTATCAACTGGCAACCTTATAAATTTCAGAAGTGATTCACAATTTTGATTTGTTTTATGAGCGCCAAAATTTTATGCAATGTCATTTACCTATAGATATTGATTCTTCCTCCACACGTGTGAGAGGGCATAAATATTAGAAATTTTTCTATCAAAGTATACATGCAATTTTAGTTTTTCTGTACAATTAAGTGACCTTGCATTGTGACTCATAAATTTAGTAATTCTCTGCAGTAACCCAACCGAAGAATTCTGTTTTATTTAGTTAGAATGCTACCAACTAGCATTCTTAATATAAATGTAATAGTTATTAATTGATTCTATTAGGTTTCTGTACTAAATAATTCCATCTGAACGCCTAAACAGAAAAATGAAAGAAGGAGTTATATATGGTAGAAAAAAATTTTCTCAACATACCATCATCTTCATCCTAGTAGAGAGAAGAAAAAAAAAGACATTAATCTATCATCAAAACATAATTCCTAAATGAACAATTGCATTTCTTAGTCATATAAATGTCCCTGGTTCTTTCTTTCATAGTTCTGCATCTCCATAATAAATATATTATGGAGAATGACAATCTCTTAAGCAGTGTAGTATTTCCTAGTATAAATTATCATCTAAAGACACTTTGATCTGAGACTTTCCTCATATAGGTAGCATGATATAGGTTCTGAGGTTCCTAAAAGGTTGATCAGTGACACAACAATATGGATAATATCTACAAAGTGCCCAAAAGATTCCTATGCAATATTTCATTCCATTCCCTTGGCAACCCTTTGTGATTTAACATCCTCATTTTACAAATGAGAACATGATGCACAGGCAGGATTCCAAACTTAACAATTTTTAAGAAATGGATTCAGCCCCAAATCTGTCCCAAAGCTCAGCCTTTTTGGCTCTCGCTTGCCATGAATATTCTTCAAAGCAGTACGGCCTTACTGACTGACAGTGCAGCTCACAAGGTGCATCTACAACCCTCTCCATCTTTATCTTCAGGGCAACATGTGCGACAGACAAGGCAAGGGCTAGCGTCTCTTCTCCTCAGCTAAGAAATAAGGTTCAAAGAGCCAAGGTGATTTAGAAATTGACCAGTAGACTGAAGGGGACAACTTGAAATTGTTAGGCCAAACCCACAGTGATGAAATGGTACCTTCCTCAAAGCGCGGCTGTGAGGACTAAGTTAGCTGCTCCATGTGCTTGGCTTACATTGAGTACACAGTAAACATTTGTTGTCACTGGTCACACCATTCATCGAGACAAGGCAAGAAGGACCTCGGTCAGGCTCACTCATGCCAGTTAGCCAGCCGGGAGTCCCAGCCAAGTCTGCATTAAGAAGTATACTCAGGCCCATGAACTCGCCATAATGGCATCACCATTCAACACTGTGGCAACCATGTCCCCTCTGGTTCAGGAACAATGACTTCCCAACTCTCATGACAAGTGTCAGTATTTGCAGAGCTGGGATCTCAGGAACATGATGTTTCCCTGGCTGTCCTACCTCACCTCCATTGCATCCCTAGGTCTTTGCAGCCACACCACTGTCCTCAGTGTCCCTGCACATTCCCTGCTGAAGACAGTCCTGGGGATGGAACGCACCTGTCCTTTCTTTGAGGGTGTCTTTCCCCTCACTCCATGGCCAGCACAAATCTCACCTCCTCTACAAAGTCACCACTGGCTCCTTAATCCATGTGGCTCACCTCCCTTAGCCCCCACAGACCATCTCATGATGTGCTGGTGAGCAGGTGCAATGTGGGACTGCCTGTCTCCACCATATCTTAGTACTTTGTTTGCACAGAGCATCTCGCTGTGGACACAGCAGGCACTGCGGGCTGGAGAGCTGAACACAAGCAGGTGCCTGATGGCCTTCAGAGGGAACTTCGAGCATAAAGAAGTTCGTACTGACCTGGATTCAGACTCTGGCTATTCACCAGATGGGAAACATGCAGTGGGCAGCTGACCCTTTCTGAACCTCAATTTCTTCTCAATAACAGAAACAGGATGGTTCCTCATTGGGCCTTAAACTGCAAAGTGTATGGAAAGCTACGAGTGGCCATTCTGGTTTTTCTGGGACTGAGGGAGTTCGTGGACTTGGGGTTCGCAGTGACAAAACCAGGAAACCCAGCGAGTAGGGACAGTGAGCACCATACAGTAGATAGCATAGCTACAAACACACATGGCAAACATTCGGTGCAGCCATTTCTAGTGTTCATCAGGTCGTGGCTATACTGAAGGGGCAAACAGAGGCCTCAGAAACTTCGGTGTGCGGCCCAGACTCTGGTGCATTTCACTTTATCCTCTCTTCCTCCACCTCCTGCACCCTCACCCTGCAATGAATCCAGCCACCTTGGGAGTTCTCGGGGGAGCAGGAGCTAAGCAGTACTGCGTCATGGGTTCAGAGGAAAGAGCTAGACTCCAAAGAAGGAGACACTGGCATTCAAAGGCCTACTGAGTGCTAGCCTTGCTCCAGGCACTGGACTTCAGCCAAGGCCAAGCCCAGAGGAGCCTCAACCTCCACAGAACCTGCACTAGTTTTCCTTGTGCCAAGCATTTACAGAATGAAATTTTCTACTTACATTTTCTCTTCTTTCTGGTCCCCATCCATGCCTGAAATGAATCGGGGCAAAGAAAAGGAAGTGAGCATAAAGAGTTCCAAAGAACTAGTCTCGGAGTACGGTTCACTTAATCAAATAAGGAGAAATTAAATCCACTGAGCCGTGGGAAGAAGGGAAGTAGAAACCCCAGCGAACAAGGGAGGGGAGGAGGGAGCAGAATGGGGTTCTGACCCAGCGGTGCTCTCACTGCAAGCTGAGCTAGGCCAGCCTTTGTTCTGGGTGTCTACTGCAGCAAGTAATTACGGAAATACATCGAAAAGGTTGAGTCAGCAGACTGAGTCTTTAGCAGCTATTAGGTTTCACGGAGAAGATGTTTCTCCAAGCAAATGAAAGCGATTTTAGGTCGTATGCTCCTCTGCTGATATTTTCAAGCAGCCTTCTCAGGGCTCGCCCTGGGTGTGAAGGGAAGACAGCTGGGAAGTGTTACTGCTCTGGGCTGAAGGGGCTCTGTGCAACTGGCCCAGAGAAACAAGCCAGACGTGGCGGTTACTGCCTGGGAGCCGCAGCAGGCATCTGTGCCACGTAGGCCAGCTACATATTCTCCTTAGGGAGTGGGGGAAGAGGGACAGTCTGTTGGTCACCGCCCAGGTGTCAGATGCTTCACCTGTCACCATCTCATCCTATGTTTATTTAAAATGCTGACACTCTGATCATTAAGAGGGTTTTTTTTTTTTGCATTCATTTTTTATGCTTTAAAATATTGCATTCAAATGTAAATAAACTCAGGACCAGAAATGTGGCACAGTGTATTGGCCACCACCTGCGATGCTGGCATCCCACATGGGTGGGGGTTCGAGTCCTGGCTGCTCCACTTCCAATTTAGCAAACTGCAAATGCACCTCAGAAAGCAGCAGATGACCCAAGTACCTGGGCCCCTGCACTGATGTGGGAGACCTGGATGGAGTTCTGGGCTCCTGGTCTCAGTTTGGTCCAGACCTGACTATTGCAGCCATTTGGAGAGTGAACCAGCAAATGGAAAAATGGAAATACACACACTCTCTCTCTCTTTCTCTCTCTCTTTCTCACTGTATATAACTCTGCCTTTCCAATAAGTTAAGTTTAAAAAATCTGAAAAAGTCACAAAACAATTATCGAGTGTCAGGGGGCATACCTGCATACCTCAGCCCTGTCCTGACATGAAGTTTGCAGCAACCAGGCAAGGTGACGGCTAGGTATCCTGGCCTCACACAAAATAAGCTGTAGCCCTGGCCATCTAGTGAGTATGAGGGTTGACTTGGGCCATAGACACACGTGTGCCATTTAGTAAACAGATCTAAAGTGACTTTATAGCAAAGTTTCAACTATCAGAGTAGACCACAGTATTGTGCAGTTATAAAATATGGCTGAGTAGGAAGGAAGACATTTGTGGCAACCTACAAACCTCCCCCCGAGATTGCCTCTCCACTCTCGGTATTGAAAAATCAGTGGTGTAGACCAGGAAGGCTTTGTTATAACAAAGGAAAACTCAGCCCGGACTGACTGCTTCGAGATGAGGTCTCAGAACAGCATCCATGCCATCCTCTCTATTTTTTACCCAGCTAGACTCCAGTTCTTGCCAAAGAGACCCGACACTCTGCAACCAACCCGAGAGTCTGAAGATTCCTTAAGCCACCGGAAATCAAAGGAGCCCACCCCCACCAGGGGTCGCCCATGGTTCTCGCTCCCTACGTAGCGCTCACAGCAAGTGGCCTCTCTATTATAGGACAGACTCAAGTCACACAAGACAGGTACTTGGGCACAGGTGGCTTCTTTCCCGGCAGGGGGCTGTTTCTTTCGTGTCTTTCCGTGGTTGGTGGTAAAGGAGGCTTTTGTATCTTGGATAAATGCTCCACGAGAGGCCTGTTACAGTTCAGAGAAAGGATGTGTGAGAAATGGATTCACCTGCGGGCAGCCTTCGGCAGCAGACTCCCCGGGCACAGGGCGCCACTTACCTCCCCGCTGGAGCCGAGGGCTGCAAGACAGGAGGGAAGACGTGTGGGTGTCAGAACACGTTCCACAGAAGCAGGACCGGACGCAAAACAAACAAAAGCCCAACAGACGAGCAGGGACACAGCTTACCTTGTCAGAAAATGCTGGCTTCTTTCCTGGAAAATACAGACAGCAGGTTGGTGGGGGATTCGGGACTTTACAGGCATGAAGTGGAAAAGCATAGTTTGATGAAAGCAGAGTCCGAGCCCCTTCTGGAGCTGATGGGGTTTAGGTTTTGGACAACGAGAAACCTGGGGCCTGGAAGGGCTCCTTAGGGGCACCTGATTGGAAAGCCCGAGAGAAATTAGGTGGCCCGCTGACCCTCTCACAGCTTTGTGTGTCAATAAGCAGTGTGGGGGATTTAGAGCTCCTTTCCAACACTTTAGGTAAAATGCGTTAGCATATCCTTAAGATTTTTCTGCCTCTTTCTTTTGCCTGAAGCGGGCTCAAGCGGGCACGCCCTATACCCTGAGAGCATACGTTTCCCTAGCTGGGTCCCAGCAGGTCTAGACACAAAGCCTAAATGACCCTGAACAAGGCTCGGGTTCTGTCAAACACCTGGAGTCTCCGTTTCCTCCTCGGTCAGCGGGACCACAGGTTGACGCTGCACAGATCTGCCGTCAGGATCACAGGACGACACTCTGCATGCGAGGGCAGGGAGGCGCAGTGGGCGCTGGCGGCTGCTGGTTAGCTCCGTTCCTCCCCTACCTGCCCATATCCAGGTACAGAGAACATCCGAGGAGCTGCATTTTCACAGCCTGATTTTTTTTTTCCCCTAAGGACTGAGTCTGTGCCAGGTAGGAAAGGATGTCTTTAAAAACACATCCGAAAAAAATGATCTTTTAAAAGTGTATCTTCGGTGTCAGGAGGTGCTGGTGAAAGATTTAAGTACTCCCTCTTTCCGAAGCCTTGGCTGTGGTCTCAGGCGGGGCTGCAGTCGGAAGTCACCCGGTCTCGCAGTCGCCTGAACTGGGCTGCTCTCTGCTGTGGACTATTCCAAACCAAAGTAATCTGCTGGCTTTGCATGACTCAGCACAGCCGTGTTGCAGCTCTGGGGAAAGCAGCGAGCAGCAGCTTCCAACCCAAGAACTGAAAGTCGGCTTGTCAGTGTGAAGTAGGCAGGCACACAGGTTAAATCAATTAGGCCTGTGAGCTGGAAGACCACGCCTTCACCACGCCCCTGCGTGACCTCATGCCCCTACCGGGCCACACCTGGGTGCCCACCAACCAATCAGGTTAATCAATCACTCCCCTTTGGAAGTGGGTTAAAAGCCTGGGACACGGTGTGTCCGGCCCTTCTCTTCTTTGCCCTGGCTTCAAGCCAGGAGGGGGCTGGCTGTAGCCCTGCACCTCTAGGGCACATGGCCTTCGGGCCACCCGCCCCAGGCTTCTGGCCTAGATGCTCCTCCTCGTGGCTGGTTCCTGGTGCTCAGTATGAACCCAGATTTACCCCCCATCTTAGATAAAGCCCTCACTCTCCTATGTATCTTTCTCACTAAATAAAAGCTTAAAATGTACCATGCTGCCTCGTTGATTTATGCCAGTATTTAGAATTCTTCTCTAAATATTAGGCAAGAACCCTCTCAGGCTTATTAATATTGGGGATTTATTAATAAGCATATGTTAATATCATATGGCACCCCAAATTCCAGTAGCATATGTGGCACCTGGGGAACTTTAAGGGGCCACATTTTCGTATATATTTTAGGGGGTCATCTCTGATATCAAGTGGACAAGGAAAGCGAGGCCACGAAAGATTAAATGCCTTCATCAGCACCCAGCTGAGACAGGCTGGGGTCAAGCAGGCTGGGGCTCCAAACTTCGTATCTATTCAATTTCAGGGCTCCCTTCCCAGACCACACAGCCCCTAGCAAGGTAGAATCCCGAGGTCTTCAAACGCAGCTTGACGTGGTGGAATAAAATGGGACATGGGTTCGCATCCTGCACCCTGCCCTGCAGATTCAGGTAAGCTCTCTGGCTATCAGTTTCATCATCATCAAGTGGGGATAACCATACACCTGCTTGTACTGGACTGGCATGAGGATTACGTAATGCTACTCAACAACTGGCAGGAGGTACATCAGTGGTCGCGTCTCAGAACTGAATTGAAAACAGCTCTGTGTGGACACAGCTGGAGTCACAGGACATCATTGTAAACTGCAGAAGGAAATGATCGCAGTATACTCCATGTCTGATCAACTGCCCACATGCAACAAAACACAGCCCTGACGTTGGAACAGCAACTGAGACTTCTAGAGTGCATTTTCTCCCTCCACCTCGCAATACAGACTGAGCCCTGAAAAAGCAACTTCCTCACAGTCAGCAAGCTGGGACAGCAGCCGAGGGCTCGCCACCACTTCTCTCTTAGTCTATCCTGGTGTCCTGGCTGGGTGGCCACCCATCCCGGAGGAGCCCAAAAAATAACCCTTTCCCCCCCCCCCCCCCCCCAGGAAGCTGCACGGCTCAAGAGCGCCCCCCTGGGCTGGGCTGCGCTGCACTGGGTCTCGCCCCCCAGAACCTGGTAGCTGATCATTCCCCCCCCCCCCGGTGCCCCCGGTTTCATCATCTGCTAGCGGAAGATGATTCTTGCAGGTGCATATGAAAGCATGCAGTAAGCGCTCTATAAATGCAGACCGGTGTTACTGTGCATCAAACGTTGAGTTGTACCCACCTAGTATGAAGGGCTCTCTGTCACAGGGAGCTAACGAACGGTCAAGGGGAGGTTTTGTGCTTCTGTCTATCGAAGGAGCAGGGACTGGAAGGGAGAAAGACGGAAGTCAATTAAAAGAGGAAAGCAGTCACTGGGGGCGGCTGGCGGGCGGGGGAGCAGCCCTCTACTCACGCTTTGCTGTCTTGTGGTTTCGACTTCTGCTCGGCTCCTCTGGGTTAGGCTGGGGCGGGGGTAGTGGCTGACAAAAACAAAACATCTGAATGTTAGGAAGAGTTTCCAGAGCCTCAGCAAGAGCTGACGGCTTCGTCTCCCAGGGGTCACCGGCCTCGGCTCGCTTGTCCCCATCTTTGCGCCCCACCCACAAACACCTGTCTCCACTTCACACTGGAACACTTGCGGCAGCTGGCTCTCTGAGCCCCGTGTCCTCCGCTGCTGCTGCTGCTGCTGCTGCAGGTCAGCAGACTGGGCTAAGCCTTCCAGTGGCTCCTATCATGTTAGGACTACAGGGAACCCCCCCCGACCCCCGGCCTGCAAGCCCCTGCCTGAGCAGGCAGCAGGTCACCCCACCAGCCCCTTCGGATGCTTGTCTCTGCAATGCTTGCTGGGATTACACATCCCTCCCCACAACAAGGGTTTTTCTTGCAGTTCCTGGAAGATATCAGGCTCATACCTCCTCTGGCCTCCCTGGGCCTGTGTTTACTTCCGCCTAGAGTGTTCTTTCCACAGTCTTTGCACAACTGGCTCATTCTGCCCCAGCTCCCTGTCACCTCCCCATCACTCGATGCTACCTGCTCTTCTGCCTGCCCTGCCACACACAACTACCCACACGATCTCATTTGTACACCCATGTACCTTTTTATCTGTCTCCTCCAGCCAACCCTAACTAAATACTGCCCTGTTTCCACTCTGCCCCAGAACCTAGAACACGGCTTGGCACACGGAAGCTGCTCATTCAGCATCTGTTGGTTGACTGAATGAGTGTCGCATCCCAACAGCAGAGGTGTAGGTCTTCAGATTTCACAAACTAATTGCATTTGTGGGGCAGTGTGACTCAGTGAGCCCATTTGCAATGGTCCTGCACACCCACGAGAAAGCCACCTGTTCTCAGATGGAATCTAGGCCATGATGGGTGCGCTCTGGACTTGAAACTTTTGAGACAATCCCTCGTCTTCCCTCTTTCTAGCCCCGTTGTGTGGGCATTTACCATAGCAGTAAAAATGCTCGGGTTACTCGTGAAGGGAACCCGTTCCCGGCTTTCCCTGCCTCAGGGAGCGGGTCAGAGCCACAGGAGCCGGCCTGCACTTGAAGAAGGAGGAAGTGGGGTCACCCTCACTTCTGCCCTGGGCTCCTGGTAGAGTGGCCCCTCAGTGTCCACAGAGGGTTGGATCCAGGACCGCCACAGACACCCAATGTCACAGATGCTCAAGTTCCTTAAATAAAAAGATGGAGTATCTGCATGGACCTACACCCACCCTACGGCATCCTTGAAATCCTCTCTGGCTGACTTGGAATCCCCAGAACAAGGGCAGTCGTCATACTCTATCATTCAGGAAGTCATGGCAAGAAAAAGTCTGTTCTCGTTCAAAAAAGATGCAGTTCTGGAGTGGGTGTTTAGCCCAGTGGTTAAGACACCAGGGCTCACATCGGCATAGACCTAGGTTTGAGCCCTCGCTCTGGCTTCCCGACTCCAGCTTCCTGCCCCTGCAGAGCTGGCAGGGAGCAGTGGCGGCTCAAGTCTCTGGCTTCCTGCCCCTCCGCAGGGGAGACCTGCATCCAGTTCTCTTTGGCTCCATCCTTGCCCAGCGTCACTCATTGCACGCACGTGGGGAATGAACCAGTGGATGGGATCTCTCTCTCTTTCCATCTGTCTGTCTGTCTCCATATCTCCATTTCTCTGCCTCTCAAAAAATATTTTTAGTGCACTGACACCCACAGATCTTAGTTCAGGGGCAAACTACTTCATCTGAAGGCATTTGTGCCTGAAATTCTAGGCTCTGGCCAGAAGGTGGCGCAAGTCCTTACACAATTCCAGTGGGAGGATGCCATTAACGTAGTTTTCTCAGTCTATATTATATTCACTTAATTTCAAGCAGTGGGAAACGCAGTGAATACTAGAAGGGGGCTTTTTGTTATATAAGTAGTCTGTATTGTTTATGGTACAAAGTAAAGACTAATAAACATTATGACATAAATGAGCAATTATCAGTACAAGGGATCTTCAAAAAGTTCGTGGAAAATGGGCATTATCTTTTAATTCCCTTTTCCAAGAACTTTTTGAAGGACCGTCACATTTCAGCCACAAAGGGAAATCCTGAGTACTGGGATATGTATTTTCCCTGCCTAGGTAAATGTATTTTTTACAAAATCTGAATTAGGTGGAAGTGTCTAAAGCTTTCTTTTCTCTCTGGCAGGGTAAACAATGGGGTCAGACACCAAGCAGCATCAGGGAATGGGGGTGGGGCGCGTCCTACCGAGTGATTCCGGCTGACTGGCAGGGGAGGGAGGGCAGCCATCGGTCTCTGCGGGGGCACAGGTGGCTGCTGGGAGACTTTCCCCGAGGGGGGCCGGTCTGTGGAAATGCAAGAATGATAAAGTGAAAGTAGCAGTGCAAAACCAAGGCAAGCGTCTACTCTCTACCATGCTCCACGGTCTCCAGCAACATGGGCTGCACCAGACTCTGCAGCTGGGGGCGCAGAGCCGCCTTCGCCAGACCTATGCCAGCGCCAACACCAGCCAGGCTATGACCCAGTCTGGGTCTTGCAAAGGGTGGGGAGCTCTTGGCCCTCTGCTCACCCCGCTTTTGGTCTTAGTTTGGCTTGCTGCATGCAAAGGAGCGACTCTCATCTCACCCACAGGAATTAGAGGTTTTGCCGACAGAAAACAGACCTCTTTGTAATGAGTGTTTTCAGATAAATTATAAAGAAGTAAAGAGACACATGCGTCCAGGTACACTGTCACACAGATGCACACACGTGTACACACGCATGCACACTCACAGTGTGCACACACACGCATGCATGCACAGAAACACGCGTGCACACTCACACAGTGCATGCAGCTGCCTGTACAGGGTTAAGTCTTGGTCACCGCTCATGGGGATCCTTCCCCCTCCCAAGGCTCTGGGCGGCCCTCCTCTCCCCACTTCCTCATCTCTGCCCTTACAGAGAGGAGCTGGGCACCAGCTCTTGCAACCAAATCCAGCACTCTAAAACGGTGCATGCACTGGCCCTGGACAGACGCTCACATGATTCTGATTGCACAGCAGCCTCTCTAGGCCAGGCTGACTTGGAAAGTCAGGAAAGGGCCATGAGGCATGAGGGGCAAGGGCGTGAGGGCCTCCTGACTGCTGTGTTCTAGACACTTCTCTTGGCTCTCCCCAGCCCCCGCCCTGGAAAGGGCCTTGTTCTTCCACACAGAACGGGCTCAGAGCCAGGACACACCTGTTCTAACCTCACAGCCTCTCTGGCCATCTGTCAGCTTCTCTAGTGTGTCAGGCTCCCTTCGAGCCTCAGGGCCTTTGCATAGCCATTTCTAGCACTGAGGAATGCTCTTCCCTTACTACATGCATGCCCACTGGGCCGACTGCTACTCACGCTTAACATCAACTTAGTGCCATGGCTAACACACCCCACCCTCGAGGAAAGCGGGAGCGAGCACACGTCCCAGCCTCGCCTGCACTTGTCTTCCTGTTTCTCAAGGTTTCATGAAATGGTCGTGGGACTCCTTCAGTGCCCAACGCACGGTGCTGTGGACGGCTCAGAGAGAAGACGGCTTCCCTCGCTCTGCCTCTTCACGAGGAGCTCAGTGCCTTGTTTATCTGTGTCTGCACTGGAGCTCCACTTCCCTGAATGTGGGGCCAACTCCATCGCCGCTGGCCTCCTCACACGGCAGGCTTAACAAGGCAGCAGAGCGGAGACCCTGACTGCAGAGGGTTCCACGGCACCAAGGAAGAGCTGCTGGATCAATTTGCTGTGGCACTGATCAGTGAGTTCTAGCTTAC